TGATCAGTTTTGGAAAGCACAGTCCCAAATACTGCACTGGTAACAACGCATGCAACAACGTATCAATCATGCATGTTATGCAATAATAGCAGAAACTCTGACAATGTTTCTCCTTCTCTAATAATAATATCGCGTAATTGTATTGATCATAACGGGCATATTTTGCTAATGTCTCAGTAACTACGTATCTTAGGCCCTGTTTGGTCTAATACTTTTTTATGTAGAATTCAACGCTTTATCCGAATTCAGGAAGAAATATGAACTATTCCACTTTTAAAAATTGACCTTCATATCTTGATAAAAAAGCAAAATAACAAAACTGATTACAATACTATACGTCCACCTAAACGTCACATTACCTAAACCGAATGAAACACTACAATTTATATTAAATAAGAAGGTGTCCAAATACTTTCGGAGAGAAGTGTATGTAATATACAGCATCGCCCACTGCTTGTTCAAAATGTATAATTATACGTGCTGCATATGCGTGTTTCATCCGACATGCAACTAGCATTGCAAAGCTTGTATTTCTTGCTACATTGCGAAGTGAACATTTCCACTCAACCAATTTTAGCTCTATGCCCTAATACTTGCCTTCCTGGCCATGTTTTATAGGTACGTAGATGTAATTTATATTGTTCTCTTCCTCCCTAATCGATGCCCCAAGTGTTGAGGACTCATCAGATGGATGACGGAGATCCTCTGAATATTGCACTTGGTGCCGACTACCTCGAAGGACCACCCACTGTAGTGGGACTATATTTGTAACGCGCAACCTAAGCGTTACGCGTATCTCTCTATCTGTTCTGTCTGAAGGTCTTCTGATGTTAGTCTATCTGTGAGTCTGTCTATTCTGTTCTTCTGTCTGGTGTTGTCTGTACTTTCTGTCTATCTTCTGAAGCTCTGAGAATGTTCTGTACTCTTCTGCTGTCTATCTGTTCTATCTGTAGCTAGAGGACCGGAGTCATGCTTAATATGACCTCGGTCCTCCCTACTTCTCTTGACCTAGGGTGGGCGGCAAGGAATTACGGTCCAATCACTGCAATCCCGAATCCAGCGAGACTGCCCCAAAACGGTGGGCCGGGAGTTAGGAGGGAGAGTGTCAAAATATCTCCTGCGAGACATCCCGCGCTGATGGGCCTACGTGCCCGAACAATGCTAGACCCAACCGTCATTGACTGGACCGTAATCAAGGACCAGGAGACGTTATGACGGTGCCACATGTGCCCGGGAATGGCCCGGGACAGACCCATACCGTCCGGGTACCCAAGCACATGGCCCCTGCCATAAATCCTGGCCACTTGGCCGTAACACCAAGAGTAAAGAAATAACAATTTGAATAATTCTATTCTTCTTGTTTTATCTCAAGAATCCTGCCGCAATTTATTACTCTGATTAAAAGGAGAAAACGAAACGATTACAGTAAATTCTCTCCAACTGTTCCTCAGCTTGTAAACGGAAATGAACAATTTGGGAAGAGGCGATACGATTATTCGAGCCTCGCGGCTAGTTTTTATAGTTGTCAATTGTCAACGACTATAAAAACGAGCTGCAAGGGTCCAATAATCGTATCTCCTCTTCCTAAATTATCCATTCTTGTTTATAAGCTAAGGGACAATTGAAGAACATTTACTGTATTCGGTATCCCAGTGTAAGCAGCGTATTTTAGGGGATTTTCTTAATACTTTCACAAGCGCGCCAAAAACTTCAGAAATTTTATAAAATTAAAGTATTTCATTCAATTAAATAAAAATTGCGAAGCAAACTTATATGGTATCAATTACTTCTTCAACATTCATACCTCTTGCAAATCTTAATAAAATTAAGCAATCATTTTTAATTTTTAGAAATTAGAAGCGGTAGATTTTCCCATTCGATGATCCATCGACTGAATTTGAAACGAGGAGATCTCCCCATTCGGTTGGCTAAGTGTTAAGAATATAGCTTCTGGCTAAGAATATGTACTTCTTGCACACAAAATTTCAGGAAACACTGGTACATGCTCCCTTGGCCACCTCAGAGTCCAGATTTAAATCCTATAGAGCATCTATAGAATGAACTAGAGTGACAAATTCCACAAAATCAAAGATATACAAAATCGGATTTCGCTACAGTCATAAAAAGCAAATGGAATGAAATTGTGACAAATATTTTGGAAATATTAATAAATAGTATGACTCGTCGCTTATTAGGGATTATTAAAGTAAAAAATTATCAAACCTCTTATTGATTAATTTAAGATTTATTATTTTTTATGCTATATCTCTTAAAAATATTCATCGTCAACTTAATTTCCGTTATGATGAAATACAAAAATTCATTATTCTTTTTACTTTGTTTTATTTGCTATTTATATTTATACATTACGCATTGTCTCTGTTATTATTGTAACGATGAAATAAATGTTTTTGCTCCTAATTCAAATAGCATTTACATCTATTAAAAATCTGTTACCTTAAATTTCCCGGAAAGTGTAAGCGTCAACTTAAATACCGACGCGACTGTATATTATGTGTTAATAGTGCCCGTATTGATGGACACATATTATACACCCACAGTTATCTGAGTTCATGACTTCTGTTTGTCTAAAGTGAAAAGGAACTCTGAAGATTCTTAACTGGGGTAACTGTGAACAAAATTGATGGTGCTACGAGCGTTTGACGGTAAGAATTTCTCGTATTATATTATATATATTATACAGAGCGTAGCACGTAACTGTCGCCACAATTTTTCAAGCACTTTCGACAGTCTGACAGAAAAATGTTTCGAATGGAAGTTAATCACTATTTACTCGGAAATTTTCAAAAACTATTGCTTTTCGACTAAAAGTCAAGGTTATCTTGACTTTTATAAATAGCACCCTGTATTTTTGACTTCGTAGTGCTATTGCTGATGAAAAAAAGAATTCAACAACTTACTATACGACGATCTTTAGATGACTTTGACTTCAGCAATTTAGGGTGGAACAACAAAAGTGATAATATCGAAAGCTATTTTACTTTAATCAATTTACAATAAGTGCACGAAGTTTAGTCCCCCGTCTTGTCTCCACTAAACTTTTTTTTGTGGATCTATAACACTGTCCGCGCGCGACAAAATCAAACTTTTTTTTTGGGTTTCTATAGCCACTATGAAATTCTTGTAGAGCTTCACTTCCTGAACAAGAATCCGAAAACCGAATTGCTCCATCACCCTCAGTTTTTTAAATAAACGAACTTTTGTACAAACCCAAAATTTTCGACAAAAATGAGGTATTGCATGAAAAGTATGAACGTTAGAAGGTTCTAATTGGTGTTAAAAGATAGAGGAGAGTTTCCCGAATATAGTGGCATGCAATTTATTAATTGTTTTTGATCCTAAATAGCAATATATTAATGTGAAAGTTTAAAAAAGTGTCGACCTGAGCAGTTTCTGCGCAATATTTTTGTATTTTTACGAAAAGTTTTTTGTTCAGCACGAAAACTCTACCCAGGATCAGATTCTGTAGACATTTTTGAAGAAGGAACGGCCCGGTAAAAGTGTCGGAACGATGTACATTTCGAGTGGATCGAGAAAATGTTCGTCGGCAACATGTGCACGACGTTTTGCCGCCATGTCCTTCGCTGCTCGCTTCTCTCTGTCCGGCAGGGCCGAAGCTATGCGTAATCAACACCGATGGAGGGATCCAATGGGGCACCCACTTTTCGTAAATAATATTTGAATTTTTTTTAGTATTTCAGTGTTTTTTTTTTTTTTACATATTTCTGTGAATAATAATCACCAAACTGTGATATATTTCACACAAAAAATCACACCAGAGTATTTGGAGTTGGTAACGAAAGTATTCTAACACTAGCATAATTTTGACTTCTACGCCATATAAGTAAATAAATATTTAAATATATATTTAACGATATGTTTCAAGAAGTTTGACGTTTTGAAAATGATTATTTATTTTTTTTTTTTATTTATATATTTTTTTATTTTTATAATTTAAATATAAATTATCGTTATAATTTTAATGATAAATGTATACATGATATACTTGTAATTCGAACAAATTCAGAATAAAATGAATATTTTTTGTTCATTATTTTTCTTTTATTATTTCTCCATTTTTAATTTATGATTCACAGTTTGGCGATTATTATCCATAAAAATATGTAAAAGAAGACAGCACATTGAAGTACTAAAAAAAAATGGCACGCCCCACACGCTAAGTGGGTGCCCCATTGGATCCCTCCATCGGTGTTGATTACCCATAGCTTCGGCCCTGTCGGACAGAGAGAAGCGAGCAGCGAAGCACATGGCGGCAAAACGTCGTGTACATGTTGCCGACGAACATTTTCTCGACCTACTCGAAATGTACATCGTTCCGACACTTCTATCGGGCCGTTTCTTCTTCAGAAATGTCTACAGAATCCGATCCTGTGTAGAGTTTTCGTGCTGAACAAAAAACTTTTCGTAAAAATACAAAAATATTACGCAGAAACTGCTTACGTCGACACTTTTTTAAACTTTGACATCAATTTGTTGCTATTTAGGACCAGAAACAATTAATAAATTGCATGCCACTATATTCGGGAAACTCTCCTCTATCTTTTAACACCAATTAGAACTTTCTAACGTTTGTACTTTTCATGCAATACCTCATTTTTGTCGAAAATTTTGGGTTCTTACAAAAGTTCGTTTATTTAAAAAACTGAGGGTGATGGAGCAATTCGGTTTTCGGATTCTTGTTCAGGGAGTGAGGCTCTACAAGAATTTCATAGTGGCTATAGAAACCCAAAAATCGTGTCGGACAGTATAATCTACGCTCTTCTCTCTGCCAATTGAAAGTATTAAACATTTGAAATAGCCTATCCACACAGCATGTGAGGAGGTTCATCATGACAGGAGGTTCATATTATAGCTACAACTGATCGTAATTTTCTTATATTACTAGAATTGTGCTTACAAGAAAATAAATAAAATAGCTTTCGATATTATAATTTCTTATTTACTATAAATTTTTATCACTTTCGTTGGTCCATCCTAAATTGCTGAAGTCAAAGTCATCTGGAGGTCATAATATAGTATTTCATCAGCATTTCATCAGCATTTATCATTTATCAATAACACCACGAAGTCAAAAATATAGGATGCCATTTTAAAAAAGTCAAAGTGATCTTGACTTTTAGCAGAAAAGCAATAATTTTCAAAAATTGTTATATATCGATATGTAGCCGAGTAAATACTGATTAACTTTTATTGGAAACATTTTTCTATCAAACTGTTGAAAGTGCTTGAAAAATCGTGGCGTACACCCTGTATGTATATGTATATTTCTCGCGTCCAAATTCCGTAAGAGGATTTAGATGGTGTTCCATACAAATGCCGTTAAATCGAGCTAGCTCTATTAAACTGTGCCCATATAGTTTTCGGCATTCAGGGGGGTATACGATCGATTCGATCTCAAACGCTGTGATGTGCCGACGAATTCAACCTGGCAACAGCAATTGGCCGGAAATCGGAAAAGTTCCTGTGTGATCCTGCCGTCCTTGTATGCCGCAAGTTCGCGGTAGATGTATTTCTGTGCGCAGAATGTATCGTATCCAGTCGCGAATCCTTGTATAAGCTTGCATGATTCGCCTTCCAGGCTAAAAGCACAGAATAAGAATCAAATTACAGTGATCTTGAACGTGATTGTTGTATCTTCTCACCTGCATGTCTCAATGCGTACTCCTTGAGTGTAATTGGGATGGTTAACGACGTATAACCATCGATTATCTTCGGTTTCCGCTGTCTTCGGATACACAACTCTCTCCTAAAGCAATAACACGTTACCAGACCGATGATCTTTATATTCATAGCATATGTAAACTTGTGAAATTCAAGGCAACGTGTGCACATATTTACTAGAATTAATGCTTTTATTTCGGCTATAAAAATATTTGCATGAAGATCGGTTAAGCTATCGGATCGTCTGTTCGCTATGTATTTAACGTAACTTATTAGCAAACTGTAATTCTTCACACAAATTATAATTCTGTTAAATGAGCTTTAGAAATGGAAAAATTTGTTTCTTGCATTAAGAATTCTTCTATGTTGCAAATAAATGAAAAATGCTATATAATTTAATCAAGGTTTTCACTATTTAATCATTTAATAATTTCATGTTTAACACTATAGATTTACAGAAGTTGATTATATTACTTA